CACGCCATAGTTGCTATCACCAGTATTCAAAGGAACACAAATAACAGGAATATGCACCCTTTTTCACGGCTTTCCTTAGTCGCAGGCAAAGACCCTAGACGGATGCAGCTGCCTTACCCCGTGCCTTGAGCCATTTGATATTTCAAGGGGTGGGGGTGAAGAGAGTTTTAGCTTCCCAGACAAAACTTTGCTGCATTGAGGGTTTAGGGCCCAGAATTGAGTAGACTTGTGGAGGGAGACAGGTTTTTTGGGGTGTTTTTTGTTTTTTTGTGTATGTTTTTGGGTCTAGGGTTGAGTGGTTAGGGTAACTTAGGGTTTTAGGGTAGAGGGTTTAGAAAACAAAAGAAAACACCCAAAACAACAAAAAAAAGTACCCAAAAAGAACCCCCACCCCATGTGGAGCAGAGGGTCGGGCTTTTGGGCTTATGGAATGACTTAACAGCCCCTTTTGTATTCGATACCGAAAACAATATAAGCCCAAGATGAGTGCTGTATGGTCGTGCTTCAAACCCCGAAAGTCAAAGGACCCCCCCAACAGCCCCCCCCGCCCCGAATGCAGGAGCCTTAATAAAAATACCAATAAGGGACACCTAGTTTACGGAAAGCCCACTACGCAATTTGAACGTGAGCCACCCGAACTACCGCATCTCAGCTATAAGGGCCCATGTTTAGACATAACATGTCCTCTTCACAAGTATAAGACTGCGCATTAGAATAGGAACCCCAGGGACCATCATTTAGCGAACCTCCCGTATACTGAGTACATTGAACCTCCAGGGCGCCTTGGGGGGTTTGTGCTTTTATGTTTATTATGTTTTGTTTTTTTTTTGGGGGGGGGAGTTAGGACTGTTCGGAAACCCTAAACCCTAAACCCTACATCCTAAAGCCTAAAGCCTAAAGCCTAAAAAAACCCTAAACCCCAGGTGTGGTACTGTGGGGTACAAAGACTCCCCTGCAAGATATCGAGGAGCCTGGTGAGGCACGATGTTCGGGTGCCCACGAAGCCAGGCGTGGGCCTTATCAAGCTCGGATCAGGGCAGGGCTTGAGGGCTCGATAGGGTTTAGGGTTTAGGGTTTAGGGTTTAGGGTTGAAGGTTCCTAAACCCTAAGACCCCAGGCCCTAAACCCGTTGGGGCTGTACCCTAAGGCTCCAAGTAGCCCAAAGTAGGTATCAATTTAGAGACTTTAAACCCCAATTTAGGTACTGTTTGTATACTTGGAGCCTCAGGGAGTAGGGCTGAAGGTTCCGAAACCCTAAGACCCTTGACCCTCAGCCCTGAAACCCAAAACCCCAGGTGAAATATGCCTTGATGCTTGGGAATGTGCTCTTCTGTTGGTGGTGGAAGAGATTGCTCTGGCGCCAGGGCTTTAGGGCCGTAGGGTTTCGGGTGTTGGTTCTAAGGGCTCCAAGTCTGCCCTAAAGCCTGAACCCTAAACCCTAAACCCTAAACCCTAAACCCTAAACCCTAAACCCTAAACCCTAAACCCTAAACCCTAAACCCTAAACCCTAAACCCTAAACCCTCTTAGTCTTCCTGCGAGCCTAGTTCCGGCAGGGCCCAGAGCTCCGAAAAGCCTTAATTAAAGAGTGTCCCTTAAATCATAATCGGAACCCTAGTGATTTAAGGTATATTCCTTAATTAATGGGTTTTGGAGTCTCTGGGGTGTGTGTCTAGAGTTTGTGGCGTTTAGGGTCTATGGTTCCCCCCTCAGGGTTTGAGGATTTACGGTTTTAGGGTTTAGGGTTTTAGGGTGTTAGGGTTTTAGGGCTTTAGGGTTTTAGGGTCTTAGGGGTTTAGGGTTGAGGGTTTCGGACTTGTAGGATTACTTTGAGTGAGTGTGCGTGCGTACGTGCGTGCGTGCGTGCGTGCGTGCGTGCGTGCGTGCGTGCGTGTGTGTGTGTGTGTGTGTGTGTGTGTGTGTGTGTGTGTGTGTGTGTGTGTGGGGGTGTGTGTGTGTGTGTAGATGGTTTGCTTCTGTGCTCGGCCCCTGTACAGCCTGAAGCTGAAACCCTCTATCAAAATCCTTTCTTTTCCCCAAGCCTTAAACCCCAAATCGTAAACCGCTGTTCGTGCAGTCTTCTAAGGGTAGCTGCATGGTTCTTTAGTATGGGGCGCTTAAATGGGGACCCCTTATATACGACCCCTTATATACCCTTGATACACCCTGTATATACAAAACGCAGAAGGCTCCAGTAACCTAGGAATAACCCACTTGAGCATTGGGTAGACAAGGAGCGATTAGGGCCCCCCTTTAGTTCGAAAAAAACAGCGCATGAGGAGTCGTGACACCTAAGTGAGCTCAGGAGTCCAATCAGGGTTTAGGGTTTAGGGTTTAGGGTGTAGGGTGTAGGGTCTACTGAAAGTAAGAAACCCGGCCTCTTTTCTTGAAGCGATTCGGTGCTCACGTGCTTCCCGTTGTTGGGCTTAGGGCTTGGAGCTTGGGATTTGGGGTTTAGGGTTAAGTTTAGGGTTTAGGGTTGAGGGTTTAGGGTTAGGGTTCAAGGTTTGGGGTGTAGGGTCTACTGAAAGTAAGAAACTCGGCCTGATAAACCCAACTCCTGGTGAGCCATCTGCCGGTGAACCTAAACCCTAAACCCAAAACCCAAAACCGTAAACCGTAAACCCTAAACCCTAAACCCTAAACCCTAGCCCCCTAAACCCTTTATCCTTACGGTGCGTGGGCTTAGGGTTTTCGGGATTGCCCTCGGAATCGAGCGCCGCGACTTTGTGCACAGGCCTTTGGCCCAATTTCTGCTGCTGCACCCTCCAAACCCAAATCCTTAACACCCAATTCCAAACACCGAACCCAAAAAGACCTAAATCCTCAACCCCTACATCCCAAACCCTAAATCCTGAACCCATACATCCTAAACCCCTAAATACTAAACCCCTATAAATCCTGAACCCACATGCTATATAAGAGTCAGTTCAGATTAGAAGCAATGCAATGCGTAAACATGGCCACCATCCTTATCAGCCCTATACCTCTGTAGGGCTTTGGGTTTCAAGCTCGGGGTTCCAGAGCCCACCGCCCCACCCGAATGCTGTAAAACCAAGCCACAACCTAAACCCTATACCCCAAACCCCAAACCCTAAACCCCAAACCCTAAACCCTAAAACCTGACTCGAACCCTGAACTCGAGACAGAAATCTCCAAACCGAAGCCCCCCTAAACTCCAAACTCCAAACGCAGACACACGCAGCTATGTCCGCTTCACCCCTGATGTCCTCAGCCTGGTGAAGGGGCCATGGGTTGAGGGTTTGCAGAATTAGGGATTTAGGGCTTGGAGAGGGTTGAAGGTTGGGGTTGAGGGTTTTCATAGGATTTCGAGTAAGGGACCCCCTTCTTTTGAAGTGTCTAGGGGTAGGGGATTGCTATTTAGGATTTCAGAGTTTCAGGATCCCTAAACCCTAAACCCTAAACCCTAAACCCTAAACCCTAGTTAGGGCTTAATTAGCGCCCAGAGCTTCGTCTGCCCCGCAAACCAAGATTCTGCTGCACCTTCGACTCTGAACCCAAATTCCTGAGCCCAAGCTAGCTCTGCAGCTTGTTTTCATGTATGCTTGTATACGGCATATATATATATATATATATGTATATATATGTATATATATATGTATGTATATATATATATATATATAGATATGCTTATATATATATATATAGATGTACATATATATCTGTATATATATATATATGTATGTACACAGACATATGTCTGTATCTGCTAGTTTATACTAGTCTTAAAAACTTGCATTTGTAGACACCCTGAAAATTTAGGAACCCTAAAACCCTAAACCCCAAACCCTAAACATCTTGAAAAGAGGGTGTCAGGTTTTAGGGCGACCGCGCTGCGCTTGCTTGCTCAGCCAGGGCATCCATGTCCTGGCGGCGATTTTGAAGGGTTTAGGGTTTAGGGTTTAGGGTTTAGGGTTTAGGGTTTAGGGTTTAGGGTTTAGGGTTAGAGGTTTTGGGCTGTTGAGGATACCCTAAACACGAAGCCCCTAAAGCCCTAAACTCTACACCCTAAACCCTATGGGGGTTTAGGGTTTCGGAGTCCTGTAGCTTTGTGGACCTTGGTGCTTTTGGACCTTGAGGTTGGGGATCAGCTTTGGGACACAAAAAGGAGCTCCGGGCCCTTCAGCTCTAAAAACCCCAAATGCAAAACCCTAAACCCTAAACCCTAAACCCTAAACCCTAAACCCTAAACCCCTAACCCCTAAACCCTAAACCCCAAACCCTTGGAGCCCTGGTCCCTCTGAAACCTGTAGCCCCTGAACACACGCAACACCTTTTGAAGGCTGGCAAGCCGCGAAAGGAAGGGTTTAGGGTTTAGAGGGTTTAAAGGGTTTAAGGGTTTTAAGGGTTTAAAGGTGTTAAAGGGTTTAAAGGGTTCAAAGGGCTTAAAGGGTTTAAAGGGTTTTAAGGGTTTAAGGGGTTTAAAAGGGTTTAAAGGTTTAAGGTTTAGAGTTTTTCTTTTTTTTGGGCGGGGGGGGGGGGGGGGGCTCAGGGCTCCAAAGCAACCTCCAGCACCTGAGGAGACTTTTGACAGCGACTCGCTCGGCCGCTCCCTGGCGCACTGCGGCCCGGTTTCTGGCGCCAGTCTTCAAGAAAGATGGGCGGGGTTAGGGTTTAGGGTTTAGGGTTTTAGGAATTGGGGTTTAGGGTTTCGGGTTTAGGGCTTAGGGTTTTTTAGGGGTCCATAGAGGGTTTATAGGACTCCAGATCTTACAAAGAAAGAGGTTCGGATTGGTGTGTTGTGGCTTTGAGTAGGTGGTTTCCTGGACCAGCACCCGGTCTGACACCGAGAACTTCTCGGAAAAAGGCTCCTCTGATGAGGGGCGCCAAAAAGCGACTTGTCGTCGTAGGGCTCGGTTTCAGGGGAACTTGGGGTTTAGGGTGTATAGCTACTACCTCAAAGACTAGAAATCATGATGATCGTCAAAGGGGGTGGGGGGGCTTCGGCCCCTTCACCCATTGGCTCGTCGGGCTTAGGGGTTAGGGTTTCAGGTCTCCAAGAAACTGTGCAGTCAGCTCATCAAAGAGTGGTGGCACGGTGGCAGAGATTCCAGACTGCTCACAGGCAGAGGTTGCTGTCTCGTACCTGAAGGATTCTGCATCCGAAACGACTACAGCCTGAAGAGCACCCAACCAAACCAAAGGCAGCTCTGACCATCACCCCCCCCCCCCCTCCCCTTTCCCTCACCCCCGAAAACGGCCTACACTTGGTGATCTACAACAGCTGCCCCAACGCTTGCGACAAGGTGGGGTGGATTGTGGCAATCTGCGCTGAAATTTCTCGACCAGATGAATATTGCTGCGATATCCTCAAGACCACTCTAAACCCTAGGGTTTAGGGTGTAGGGTTTCAGGGTTTAGGGTTGCGCCCTCCTCAACCCTATAACCTAAAACTCCACCCCATGACTTCCTAAACCCTCATGAGGGGGAAGAGGAGGCGCCCTCAACCCGAAACCCTAAACTAACCCAAACCAAAAACCCCTAAGCCCTATAAACCCTCCTACAAAGCCCTGCAGGAAAATGCAACAACAAAGCTAAACCCTAAACCCTTGCCCCTAAACCTTATAACCCTTATTAAACCCTAAACCCTAAACCCTAAACCCTAAACCCTAAACCCTAAACCCTAAACCCTAAACCCTAAACCCAAGGCACGTGATCACATCATGGCGTAGGGAGGCGCCCCGGAGCTCCGCGACCAGCACCAAGGCCAAGGCGTGCTGGCTGCAGGCGAGGCATGCACTCACCTGGGAGCTTAGGGTTTCGGGTTTAGGGTGTTTAGGGTGTTTAGGGTTTAGGGTGTTTGGGGTTTAGAGTGTTTGGGGTTTAGGGTGTTTGGGGTTTAGGGTGTTTGGGGTTTAGGGTGTTTAGGGTTTAGGGTGTTTGGGGTTTAGAGTGTTTGGGGTTTAGGGTGTTTGGGGTGTTTGGGGTTTGGGGTTTAGGGTGACTGAAGGGTGTGGGGGTAGTTCCATGGTCCCTCAATGTCCTGAATTGGGGAACCCTTATATACCCCTTGTGTATCCTACCAAAACCCAAATCCCATACTTCAGAGCCTTTGAAAAACGGTCAAGGACCATATTAAGGGACCAACGAGTTTCGGTCTTACAGGGTACGACGGGGGGCATTAAGGGTACTTAGAATGTTTAGGGTGCTTAGGGTTAGGAAGGGTGTTGAGGGTATGCAAACAAATTCGAGAGGGTTTAGGGGTGTCGGGCTTTAGGTTTAGGGCTGTAAATGGATCTTTCTCAGAATTGGAGGGTAGAGGGCGCCCCAAGATAGCCAAGCTTACGCATGCTCAGAGGCGCCCCTCCACGAGGACCCTCATTCAGGAAGAAACAACTACCCATATCGTTTAGCGTAAAAGCTGTGGCTCGGACGGAGCCCTGAATTTCAGGGTCCCGACCACTCACAACCAAAAGCCATGAAAGCCCTGAGCTCCAGGTCTAGTCCATCCTACAAAGCTTGCAATCCCTCGACATGGGGGGGGGGGGGGGGTTTCCGAAACTCGGGGTACCTTATGGGGTTCCTTCTTATAAGATCATCCTACTAGAGGGGGGGGACTATGTTGAGTATCCCTCATCTTCGTTAGCTCCCATTTCTTCATCAATCAGCCCTAGGCCTTAAACCCGAAACCTTGAAATTCAATGGGCCCCTCTCTTTGGGATGTTGCCCCTTAGACTATAACTCCTACTAAGGACTGCTAGTACAAAAGGGTCCTTGATAGGGATTACAGTAGGGGGGGGGGGGGGTACTATAGTTCCTACTAAGGACTGCCTGGGAAAATTGAGGGAACATCCCAAGTTATCCGGTCACCATGGCGTTGTAGGTGATGATGTCGCCCTGCAGCCGACCATCCCTGAGGTTTTGGAACCTTAGGAGTTCCGTGGGCGCTGTGCTTCGAGCGCTTAGGGTGTAGGGCTTAGTAGGGTTGAGGGTGCAGGGCTTAGTAGGGTTTAGGCTAGGGCTAGGGTTTGAGAAGGAACGTCCGGAATAAGCAGCAAAAGTTACCGACTGGACTCCTTTAAGAGGCAGATGCCATGCTTGCTGCCATTGCCTCCCCTTCTCGCAGGCGCTGATGGCGGTGTTGATAGTGATCCGATCCGGTTGAAGCTGCTTTTCCTCCAGCCTTGGCCCCCAAAGCAGCCATGGATACCAACCCCCCCCCCCCTCCCTGCTGCAACCCGAAACCCCTGAACCCTTCTTCAACCGTGAAGCCCTTTCTTCGGCGCGACCACGAAGGATGACCCTTGTGAATGCAAAGTGTTGGCATTGGGCAACCAACCTGGTGGCCCAGTAACCATGTTAGAATAAGGGCACCCTTTTTGGGGGTTGGTTTCTTTACAACCCTCGGAAATATTCTGCAAGTGATCCTCTCTTAAACCCAAAATTGAACATATGAAACGTCCCCAAGGCCCTCCCTAGGTAGCCATATTATAACAAGGGCACCTGTTTTGGGGGTTTAGGGTTACCCCAAACCCTAAACCCTAAACCCTAAACTTGGTTACTTTACAAGGGCACCTTGAACCAACCAAAAAAAGGGAAAACACGGGTTACCACTGAGCAAACCAAGCCAAGGAGCGTGGAAAGCAGAAGAATGGCCTCCTCCCACTGCTCTCCCTTCTCACCTTGCCATTGAGGGTTTAGGGTTTAGGGTTTAGGGTTTAGGGTTTAGGGTTTAGGGTCACATAGGGGTCCCCAAAGGCTCCCGCCAAGGGGGCCATTACCCCGCAAACCCTCCTCCTACTGCTCCAGCTCTGAGATTCTTGAGGCTGGTAACCCTTGAAGGGAGTCGGCGGGGCCAATCCATCCAGGTATGTGGAGATTCTCGCTAGAGGGTTCCACAGGCCTCACAAGCTTGGACTTCAGGGTTCGGGTGCCCAAAGGGGTCATCAGTTTAGGGCTGAGTGCTTGTTTATATAGACTAGCCTTTGCACCCTCACCAATGCACCTGAGTTGTTAAGTTCTATATACTATATCATAATGCCTCATACAAAGGTTACCTCTAGGTCTCTAGGTGCAGTAACAATGCCTCCCACCCAGAATTCTGCGGGCGCTCATGCCGCCCGGTCGCACGCACTGAGGGCGGCGTTGTAGGTCACCACGTTGCCCCGAAGCCGCTTCGACTCTAGCTCCTTCTGGCTGGTTCTTAGTAGGGAATGAGGGAATGAAGTACCCTATATAATCCCTTAAAGGGAATATATAGGGCCCAAATACCCTCATTTTCTACTAAGAACCACGGGGTCCTTCAGTAGGACGAGCGCACGCTGGCCTGCACGTTGCCCCGCTTGGAGGTTCAGGGGGAAACTGTATGTTGCCATAGTTATAACCTACTGCTTACAAAAGAAGATCCATGTAGTAGGCCCCTAATTAAGCCCCAAACCATTGAATAAGGATCCTAAACCCTGAGCCCGACACCCGGCAGAACCCTAAACCCTAAACTCCCTAAACATGATTCCAGAGGCTGTCCAGGCTTCAAGCAAGTCGGAGGCGGAGGCTTGAAAGTTGAGGGTTTCGGGTTTGGGTTTCCAGGACGACTCTGGCCTTTGGGATGTGCCTCGAGTAGCCCACATACCGTACATAGCTGCAAAGCCTAAACCCTAAACCCTAAACCAGCTTAAAGCCCTCCTCCCAGACCTTGGTTGCAGGCGCTGATCGCGGAGTTGTACGCTACGACATCCTCGTCGAAGCGCTTCTCCTGCGGAGGGGCGGGACCCAATTCTAAGTGCAGTGATACCCCCACTTACAAACCTCTTAAGTGCCCCAATAGGGTCATGATTGAGTTACAAGTACAGTTCTTCCCGGGTTACTACGTACCATGAACCTCCAAATAAGGATCCATCAACCCATGCTTGGGCCTTAAAGGGCTTCCCATATAGTATAGCTTTAGGGCCCAAGTATGTAATCAACAGGTTCATGGAAACTTGGGGACGAATGACGAAACCACTGAGGCCTACTGCACACACCGCCAAGGGAAGCCGAGAAAATGGCAGGACTCTATATGAGGGTTTACGAAAATAGGGGACCCCAAATATAGGCGCCCAAATAGTACGACTCCCTTATAAAGGACCCCGCTAAGGTACTCCGAATTTCGGCACCCCCCATATGAGGGCTGTCCAAAAGTTCCTCAATTGAAATGAAAGGGAAAGACCATGGGATAAGACATCCTCGAAGGAGGAACCCTTATAAAAGGCAACCCACTCATGGTTGCTTCGGGGAAAGGTGCTTTGAACAACTTGTCGGTCGAGGACTCCTCCCGCTTCATCGCCCCAAACAAGTTTCCTTCAGAATATCATAACCACCCCGGAAGAAAGCGGAGGCTCTCCGCGGGGCTGAGGAGGGTTTGAAGAGGGATTTGGAGGGTGGACACTGACACTGCGAGGATACCCTGCAGATTCTCGGGGGGTACGCTGCAGGAAGAACAACCTGCAGACCTTCTCACTGAACACTAAACCCTAAACCCTGAACCCTGAAGGACCAGGGTGGGTGGGCAGCCAGAACTCAGAAACCCTAAACCTTTCAACCCTGAGCATGAGCCCCCAAAGCCGACAAACCCTTAAAGCCTGAATCCAAAAGGGGCCTGTAGGTGGTCGAGTAGATTCCTGGTTTCTCTAGGGCTTCGGGTTTAGGGTTTAAGGTTTAGGGCAGGGTAGCTGCCAGGGAAATGGGCCTGGGCACTCTTCTTCTGGAAGGGGCTGGTATTTCGGAGGCTGTAGCCTGGTGGGTGTGAGCTGGCAGGTTTGATTCAATTTGGGGCTCGGGCTTCGGGTTCCCCGGACTACCAGAGCAACAGATGGACCAGTCAATGCAATCCAGTAGCTGCAAAGACTAAGGGTTTAGGGTTTAGGGTTTAGGGTTTATAGGGTTTAGGGTTTAGGGTCGAGGAAGCAAGAGCCCCGACCCGAAAAAAAAAAAAAAAAAACTAAACCCTAAACCCTAAATGCACCCTACAACCCTCACCCGTAAATCCCAAACTCCAAAACACTTCACGAGTGTGCGCACACATGGGACCAAGGCGCAAGCGCCATGTGTAACACCCCGAAAAGTGGCAGAGCCCTGTGCGATTCCAACGTTCAGAGTAAAGCGGATGTTTGGTTCAGGGTTAGGGTTTAGGTTGAGGGTTGAGGGTTGAGGGTTTAGAGTAGAGGCAAGCACGGCGTCCGCCGTGGTGCGACTCGCGTCTGGGGTGGAGCGCTCGCTTTGTGTCCGACATCGCGCCTTCTGCCTGTAAGGTGTGGGCTTGGCACCATCGCATCGTGTCTTGGTCCACATCTCATGCACTTCTCAGATCTTGATGGGTGGGTTCGCTTCGTGCGCGTCCGTTCGAATCACAGCGTGTCGGCGACAAGAATGGCAGGGTTTTTGGGGTCGCCGGAACAAACCTAGCCCCCTCAAGCCCAAACCTCCTTGCAGCCCAGCGCACAGAGCTTGTTGCCATTGGGCGCCCCGGTCGCAGGCGCTGATGCCTGAGCCTTTGGGTGTCCACCACGGGGTCTAGGGTTTAGGGCGGCGTGGGGTTTAGGGTTTAGTGTTCAGGGAGGCGCTTGGAGGTGTTTCGGGGTTGAGGAGCTTGGGGTTGAGAGGCTTCGGGTGGTTTTAGGGGTTTGAAGGTTTTGGGGGTTCCAGGCTAGGGTGTTGAGGAGTTTAGAGAGTTAGCGGTCTGAACCCGATACCCGAACTCCTAAACACTAAGCCCTAAACCCTGTTTGGCTTTGGCGATGAGGGGCTCAGTGTGTTAGGGCTTCGGGTTCAGAATCAGGAACCCTAAGCCCTAAACCCAAAACCCAAAACACCCTAAACCCTAAACCCTAAACCCTAAACCCTAAACGCGAAAGCCGAGCGCGGATGAAGTTCGCACGAAACCAAAGCCTTCGGAGTCCCAACCCCGAGGATGCCCTGAATTTTACCAACCAAGTCGGGATGGGACTGAAGAGAAGCTGTAGAATCTTGTCGGGTTTAGGGTTTAGGTTTAGGGTTTAGGGTTTAGGGTTTAGGGTTTAGGGTTTAGGGTTTAGGGTTATAAGCTATAACTTTTAGCTGCCTTCGGAGCGGCCAGGGTGCTTTTTAGCGAGCCACTCTTCCTACACACCCTAACCCCTAACTCCTAAACCCCTAAACCCCTAAACCCCCTAAAGAGGCCTCCGAGGAGCTGTAGGAGATCACGTTCCCTTGCAGCCCGCACTGCCGGAGCTCGATGAGGAGCTGCACTGAAAGCTCCCACCGCTCCCCCTTCTCACAGGCACTGACGGCGGAGCTGTACATGATCACATCCTCGGATGGCCCTGAAAACCCGGAGGAAAAATGTTCGGGTTTAGGGTTTAGGGTTTTGGGTTTAGGGTTTAGGGTTTAGGGTTTATGGTTTATGGTTTAGGACAATAGTCCCCAAAATGACCCTCTCAAACCCAATAAGGGGAAATATTCAATGCTTCAAGGGCCTACCGGGCATCTCTTTCCAGCCGCTCCTCACGGCAAGCACTGAGCAAATGCAGGGCCTTCTGCCACTGCCCGCCCTTCTCCAGGGCGCTGACCGTGGCGTTGAAGGTGATCACGTCGCCATCCATTGCAGCCTGAACTTGGCTGCACTCAGAAGGGTAGCCATAAATGATAAATTTGCAGCTGCCTTCTGAAGAAGCCGAGTAAACCCAAAAAAGGCTAGGGATCTAAAGTTGCAGTAAGGCACCACAAAGCGAAGGTCGGAGAAGAGCTGCAGCGCCTGCTCCCACTGCTCAGCCTTCTCGCAAGCGCTGATGGCCGCGTTGTAGCCTCGACCCGGGAGTAACCTAATAGGAATCAAAAGGGTACCCTTTTTGGTTTTAAGGGGATTATCAGGGAACCCGGGAGTAACCTAGGAATAAACAGCGTACCCTTTTTGGGTTTAAGGGGATTTTAAGGGAACCCCAACCCCCAAAAAAAAGGAAAAAAGGGGCCTACTCCCGGTCCTAGGAGCTGATCCGGTCTGCTGGAAGACGCTGCAAGAGGTCGAGGGCCTCCTGCCATCGGCTACTCTTCTCAAAGGCACTGAGGACGGCATTGTAGGTGATCAAGGTGGCTTCAAGCCTCCTGCCTTTTAGTTCTGCTAACAGCTGCATGGCCCACTGCCACTGCTCCCCCTTCTCACAGGCGCTGATGGTCGCGTTGTAGGCGATCACACTGTCTGGTAGCTGCCTCTCTTGCAGGGTACGGAAGATGTGGAGGGCGCGCTCCCACTGGCCGTCCTTTTGGCAGGCGCTGATAGCCGAAGTGTAAGTGATCGCATTGGCCTGCAGCTGTGAGTCCTCAAGAGCTCCAAGCAAGAACAAAGCCCACTGCCATTGCCCCGCCCTTTCGCAGGTGCTGATGGAAGAGCTGTATGTGATCACGTCGCCTTGGAGCTCGACATCTTTCAATGCGGCCAGCAGGCAAAGACCCCAACGCCATTCGGCGGCAGCTTTGCACGCATTGATGCATGCGTTCCAGGTGAAGACGTCCGGCTCAAAACCGTTCGCGTGAAAGTCTGCCAGTAGAGCCAGCGATGCTGGCCACTGCTCGCCCCGTTCGCAGGCCGTGATGGCAGAGGTGTAGGAAACAGAATCCGCGACCTCAAAGATCTTAAGCCCTAAGCCCTACACCCCAAGCTCTACACCCTAAACTCTAAGCCCTGAACCCCAAACCCTAAACCCTGATCCCTAAACCCAACTCCCCCGGAAGAATTGTAGGCATCTTGTTGCTTCACCGAGTGGGCAAAAACTGCACATGCCCATGAGCACTTTACCATGTTTTATGCTCACTTGTGCATCTTTTGTGTATATTCCGACAGAAGCCAAGAAGAATCATGACTCCAATGAAAGACATGCAAGATACTTCTGTGGGCTTTTGTGAAGGAATTCTATGAAGCAACCGTTTAACAACATCCGAAGGGGATGTAGAGTAGCCCAGGGAAGATCACTGCCGGTGAGACGCTCCGGCGTCTTGAAGCTCAGAGAACAGGTGCAAGGCCTGCTGATTCAGGGTTTTGGGTGTTTGGGGCTTCAGGGTCCCCTTAAACCCTAAACCCTAAACCCTAAACCCTAAACCCTACACCCCCAATGCCTGTTGAGGGATTAGGAGGGGTTTTGGGCCTGCTGCCACTGCTGCCCCTTGGCAAAAGCACTGATGGCCGAGTTGTAGGTGATGAGGTTCGCCTGCACCTCGTGGGGCGACTTGCTGTTTTAGGGTTTAGGGTTTAGGGGTTTAGCGCTTGGGATGTTCCCCCTTATACTAACAGCCCTTCATAGGAATTGTAGTACCCGGGTACTAGAATCAGGGGGGGGGGGGGGGGGGGGGGGGGGGGCGCGCCGCTGTGGTTTCGAGAAAACACGAATAAGGGAACAATTGGGGCCCTTTCTTACATAGCGTACCCTACACTTAATACTCAAATATGCTGGATTCTTGGGGACCGTGGTATGCAGCAGGTCCTTAAAATGCTTCATTCTCGAGGTATATAGCCAAAAGATGATGAGCCAGCATATAGCTTACACAGCTCTAGAACGGTCGTCGCCTCGTGATACAACAGCCGATGTTCACCCGAGCCCTATAGACCCTAGGCTGCAAGGAGTCACACCTCAACCTTTAACCCAAGCAACCTACAACACCCCCAAAACAACCAACTCCCTAAACCCTAAACCCCTAAACCCCTAAACCCCTAAACCCCTAAACCCCTAAACCCCTAAACCCCTAAACCCCTAAACCCCTAAACCCCTAAACCCCTAAACCCCTAAACCCTAAACCCTAAACCCTAAACCCTAATAAAACCACATCGCCCTCCGAGACCTGTGACCCTGCCGCCCGCCTGGTTCCCCTGTAGCTCCGTGAGAAGCTGGAGGGCTTGATCCCATCCTTGGCTGACTTCTGAAAGCCTAGGGTTTAGGGTTTAGGGTTTAGGGTTTAGGGTTTAGAGTTTAGGCTCCTGTGTTTTCTACAAAAGCCCCAAAGGTTAAAGTCCTAAGAGCCACCCAGAAGAAAGGCGAGAATCGGGCTTCTCGCTCACAGGCGCTGATGGCAGAACTGTAGGTCACCACCTTGGTCACAGAATCGGGTTCCAGCCGGCAACACTTCATCCCTAAACCCTAAACTCCCTGCAGCCCCTAGACCTAAATCCTAACCCTCCCCCCCCTGTAGAACCTGTGAAGGTTTAAGGGCTTGCGGTTTCTAGGGTAAAAATCAGGGTCACATGTGTGACCTCATCTTTAGGCCAAGCCTGGAACTACCAAGGCCTGTGCTGAAAAAACATGCTCAAGGGTCCCTAAATCCTAAACCCCAAACCCTAAACCCCTTGAAAAACCCTGCGTGTGATGCTCTTGCCTCCGCGCAAGTCGCCGAACGAATGTTGGGTTTCCCAGATTAAGGGTTTGGGATCTAGGAGCCCTAAACCCTAAACCCTAAACCCGAAACCCTACACCCTAAGCCTAAAACCCTAAACCCTAAACCCTAAACCCTAAACCCTAAACCCTAAACCCTAGACCCGGGTTTGGGGGGGCTTAGGGCTCAAAAGCCCAGGATGCTGTTCTTTGCATCCTCCACTCTGCCACCTCCTGCAAGAAGTGGAGGGCCCTGGCCCAGTCCGTGCACCTGCAGCTTCGGGTTTAGGGTTTAGGGTTTAGGGTTTAGGGTTTAGGGTTTAGGGTTTAGGGTTTAGGGTTTAGGGTTTAGGGTTTAGGGTTTAGGGTTTAGGGTTTGAATATTCGACTGCTCCCTGAGTACGAGGCAACCTTCTCCTGCTAGCCCAGTAACCATCTCACAATGTGGGGACCCTTTTTGGGGTTGGTTGCTGCAGAAGGGAACCTTGAACCAACAAGAAAGGGCAAAAGGGTACCACTGCCAAAATATAGAGAATCTCGAAGAAACCTGCGCATCGTGAGCATTGTGTGGAACATAGTTTAGTTAGAGCATTGTGTGGAACATGGTGAATTAAAGGCTTTGGCGAGTCATGGCTTCAGAGATTTCAGCTTGACGTTACAAGCTTGCAGAGTCTTGTGGCCCAATTCCTCTACGCCCGTGGTCAGTGGCCTGAGCCGGAGGCGCGCGTACTCATGAGGTTACTTGGAAGCCCTTTTGAAGCCCTTTTGACTTAGTAAGTAAAGGGTTAGTAAGATGGTTTATTGCGATTATTTTAGAGTTGCTAGGGGATACTAAGTAGACTTACTAAGTCAAACGAGCTTCTAAGTACGGGCAACTCTCCAGGCAGCCAGGCACCTCCCACAGGCGCTGATGATGGAGTTGAGTGCCACGATGCTCACTGAAGCACCTTGCACACATGTTGCATCACTCTCTCCCCCCTAAAACGTAAACCCGAAATGTTTTGCTCTTCACTGGAAATACTACCTTTGATGTATGACTAGCATTATCTCGTTATTCCTGTCATTTTACTCTCTCGCTCTTTCTCTCTCTCTCTCTCTCTCTCGCTCTCTCTCTCTCTCTCTCCCTCCCCCCCTCGCTTATTTTCATCTGTTTCTCTCCCCCTCTCAGCTCTCAGCCATGACTTTGACACATCTCAGCCCCCTCTAGAGCCTCAACCAAGCACCTTCCAACAAGACAAATACACTGCATACAAATGCCCATGAATGTAAACAAAGTCCATATAGATACATGGATTAATTTAGTCATGTTCGTCATTTACCTATCTGTTCTCATGCAGAGTATTGGAGCAAACATATCCTTGAACAAGATCCTTATAGAGGTCACGGTTCAAGGTTTTTGGGTGAGGATTTGGGGCTTCGGGTCTGGGGATTGGGGAGGCAAAGTGTCGCGTGCGCGCCTACGCGCTCGGCGCAGTGCAGCGTGGCAAGGCCCTGCTGCCATTGCAGGGCCTCTTAGTCGAGGGATTTTTGGGTCATAGGGCTAGGGGCCAAAAGGTTTAGGGTTTAGGGTTTAGCGTTTAGTGTTTAGCTGCCTGGCCCAATCAATAAATTTTTGTTGCATTAACACCATCTGAACGATAGTTCTATCTGGACCTAACAAGGGGACACCATCAAGCCTAGGGGTACAAGCTAGAACCCATGAAGCCTCAACCCTGAGGCACGACTTCAGGATGTGGCCCAGGGCTACTTAGGGATGGAAACCCTAAACCCTAAACCCCTAAACCCTAATTAAACTGAACCCAAAACCCTAAACTGCGAAGGCAGAGCTCAAGGTATGAGATCCGCTGGGACCCCCCCAGCCCCCCCCCCACCCTCCCCGGCCCAAAAAGGACACCCCTTAAGAACCTAAGGCTACAAAGGAACCCCGCACAAGCTCCGGGTCTGTTCAAGATCAGCTGGGTTTGTTCGACAATGGGGGGCGGGGGGAGGCGACAGGTGTTGGGATCAGGGTATGTTTCGCGGGTATGTTTTGGGTATGCTTCGCGGCGTCATGAGCTACTTTACCTGCAATTTCGGTGGTATGTTACGGGGTATGTTTCGGGGGTATGTTTCGGGGTATGTTTCGCGGGTGTGCAACCCGTGTGCCCTTCTTAAACCTGGGCCCCCCAAAAATGGACAAACCCAGCTGCCTTGCTGCAGCAAACGACCGCCGTGACGAGGTCGCTGGCCTTCACCATAGAAACCGTGGGGGCTTGGGGAAGTCTAGTGTTCAGGGTTGGGTAGTCTGGTATCTGTAGGGGAGACATACCGATATTTTAGGGCACATGTCCCTCTTTGAAGGGTATAGTAGCTCCTCGAAGTAGACCCTAGAACACAAGAAGTCCCTTAGCGCCACACCGTAACCTGTCAAAGCCAAAGCTAGTTAAAAAAAGCTACGAACAGCCATCCTGCTTAAACCCCTAAGCTCTAAACGCTATAACCCTAAATGCTGAAACCACTCCATGTCGCTGCCTGCAGACTGGTGCCATGCTCCAGCTTCTCCTGGGATCAGGGACATCATAGGCCTGCCCGGCCGAGCTGTTTTTCCTTGCATTCTTAGGGCTTAGTAGGGTTTAGGGTTTAGGGTTTAGGGTTTAGGGTTTAGGGTTTAGGGACTAGGGTAGGGTCCAGTGGGGTTGTTGGGGTGTATAAGGGTTTGTTAGGGCTTACTAAGGCAGGATGAATACAGACTAAACATCTCTTCGGAGCTTGTGCGAGGATGAGGGATTTCCGGAGTATGAGCGTTCACTGTCGGGATATCCACGTCATCTGGAATATGTGGGTGGTTCTCTGACTTGGGGCCTCGTGTTGGATGCTATCAACCCTTTTTAAGCACCACAAAAGAAAAGGGACCCTCATTAAGAGAGCCACCCATATGTAATTCGTGGCAAGGAGTAGACGCATAAACCGCCGGACGTGGTCATGACCAACACTCTCCCTCCTCTGGTAAAGTTACTCATTGCTTGCATCCTTCCGACGGGCCGCCCGCGGCTTACCCTAAACCCCCAAAGGATCCATGTACCTATATAGTATATACTTGGGCCTTAAAGAGGTTCCTATTTTGTAGCTTTACGTCCCAAGTATATACGATACCCTAAACCCTTTATTTGCATCCGGACTCCTTTGAACCTTTGGGTGTTGCCAGAAACTTAAACCCTAAACCCTATAAACCCGAACATCAAACGCTCCGACCGTCCTGCAGCGCCGCCAGCAGGTCCTGCCAGGGCTTCTGCGTCCTGCCGCTGCGTGCGCCTTCGCCACCGGCGGTGGACCGCGCAGGTGGCGCCATGTGGGCTTCGAGATTTTTACCCGCTGGCTGCCTAGCTTCGCTCATGTTGCTCCTGCAGATCAAAAACTCGTAAAGGGTTGGCAAAAAAAGGCCCTGCGTATGGAGCTGAGAGAATTGTATATACCCCTCAAGCGAAAAATTGCAAATGACGAAGCACAACTCTCCCATATTTGAAAGACGTAGAAGTTTCTCTGGGCAAACCCCAAAAAAACCTGAAAGTCTGTTAACAACAAACCCGAAATCGAGGTAACCCCTAAAACCCTACACCTTTAAACCCTTAAATCCTTAAACCCTTAAACCCTTAAACCCTCAAACCCTACACTACACCCGAAACCCTAAACCGGCCCTTAGACCCTAAACCCTAATACCCATGTAAGAAAGGGGTATTTGAGCCGACGGCATCAAAGCAGCGAATCAAAACTCTCGAAGGCGCATATACACATGCACCTAAGCAGCCCAGTGGCCAAAAAAAGAAACGGTACCCTTTTTGGGGAAGGGTTTTTGCGTTTTAGGGTTTAGTGAATAGGCATTTTGGGGTACCGTTGGTTTTTATGTTAGCTCCTGCATCCGGCCCGACGACCCTTCAGGTTTGTAGGGCTCAGGGTTAGGGTTTTCTACTGAAACCGTTGAGGCCAAAAACCCAAAACAAGCCATACCTAGACTTACTTAAACAAAAAATATATCGAAGGAATCGTACCATGATTTTTGGGCAGACTTATCTTGCTTCAATAACCTTACACCCTAAACCCCAAACCCCCCAAAACCCATAGACGTGGTTTGCGCTTGGGCGTGCTGTAGCGGTCCTTCTGAACCCCGAGAGGTCTACAGTGCACATGCAGGTTCGACTAGGGGCTCTTGAAATACAAGTGTCTAGGGTTTAGGGTTTGGGGTGATCCCAACTTTGGGGGCTTATTGCCGGTAACTACTCTAGTTTGCTGTGGTTTTGTAGCCAAGATGAGCACCCTAAACCCTAAACCCTAAACCCTAAACCCTAAACCCTAAACCCTAAACCCTAAACCCTAAACCCTAAACCCTAAACCCTAAACCCTAAACCCTAACCCTAAACCCTAAACATGATTCCAAGAACAGGCCTCCTCCAACTCCTCCCACTCCACGCAGTCTTCGAATTCCGGCTCGGCGTCCTCCAGGCTGTTCCTCACTGAGCATGGGCACTCAGCTAGGGTTTAGGGTTTAGGGTTTAGGGTTTAGGGTTTAGGGTTTAGAGTTTAGGGTTTAGGGTTTAGGGTTTAGGGTTTAGGGTTTAGGGTTTAGGGTTTAGGGTTTTGGGGTTTAGGGTTTAGGGTTTAGGGTTTAGGGTTTAGGGTTTAGGGTCCAGCCTAAGCCCGAATCATGGACATGGACTAGAGCCGAGCCCCAGGCCACGAGCCTCAGCCCAAACCCTCGTAAAGAGGGGGTTTAGGGTTTAGGGTTTAGGGTTTAGGGTTTAGGGTTTAGGGTTTAGGAAGGAGGGGGGTTGGGAGAACGCAGGGGTGAACATTCTGATGATGATGTGAACCCTAAAGGCCACCCGCTTCACGCTGTTCTGCGAAGCCCAGCGGCGTGATCTTGAGTCTGATGAAGGTCAACCTGGGCAGAGTTTGGAGTACAGGGTTTTGCGACCAAAAAAGGGAGGTGGGTGTCAAGTGTACTCGGTTTGGGTGGGAAGCACCGCAGCACGTCGTTTTGATACAGGGGTGTGGACGTTTGAGTGGGCTGAAGACTTTGCTTCATGGCTACTATTATAGTCTACTACAGAAAAATGTCTGGATTATGGGGGGGGGGTGCCTTGTAAGGCGTCTGCAGCTAGTCCACTCGCTACAAATGATCTGCTTCTTTTCGGCATCCCATACTAGTCTGCTAAATACTGTTCCGTGTAAGAAGGTGGTCTGCGGCATGGAGCTGCTTGGCTTGTTGGGCATCTGACTATACACTATTTCTTTGCTGGGGCATTCGATACGTCGAGCTATACTGCTGATGAGGTCACTACTCTTCCTATTCTGAAAACATGGAACTGTTGTGCGCAACGGGCCATCTCCGGCACAGAATCGGTTTGCTGCTTGGCCTGCTTCTACGAGTCTACTACACATAAATACTTGGCGTATTTGGGAACATGTGTTGCTTCTTGGGGCATGCTAGAATCCGAAATGCCAAGACCCTAAACCCTAGAATCAAACCCTAAACCCTGAACCCTATGCGCTAAGCTCTGTAAGCAGTCCCAAAGGATCCATGTACCTACCTATCTGGAACAAACTTGGGCCTTAAAAGGGGTTCCTATATAGTAGCTTTAGGGCCCAAGCATATACTCCTATACTCCCTCTGGAACCTTAATAAAAAAACAATATTCTAACATCCTCTTGGGCTTTATATGAACAAAAACTAAAAAGAAAAAGAACTCCCAAGCAGGATAAAGTATACCAAAAAAGAATTCCCAAGGGGTATATGGTATACGACATAGGTACATGGATCCTTTGGGAGCATCTCCATCTCAAAGGCCAGAAGACTTCTGAGACTCGCAGAGCCAGTTGTTTGGCGGTGGAAGCCCATCGGCCTGCTTAGGGTTTCGAATTTAGCAGGGTTTAGGGTTTAGGGTTTAGGGTTTGGGTTTACAGTGCGTTTGCAGGAGCTGGAGATAACGGTGTACATTGTGAGGGCTTTCCCGGGTTCTGGGGTTCCGTACGTGTTCCTTCTGGGCCGAAGCTTCGGAAGCGGGTGAAATCACGCAGCTTCTGTATATTGTTGACCCCTAGGTTCAGAAACCAGTTGGCTGGCGTTCTAGCGGAATCCCGATACTACCACCGGGCTTGAAGCAGGAGACGAATAAATGCCATATATATATATATATATTATTTTATATATTGTATATTATATATTATATATTATGTATTACATATTATACTATATATTATAGATTATATATTGGATATTAGATAGATAGATATAGATAGATAGATAGGGTTTAGGGCGGAACACCATAAGCCTCGCCTCCATGGCCTTGAGCTCTTCCTCCAGCGGCAAGCGGAAGAAGGACAAGTGGAACCTGGGAGGAGGGCCTTCCTTTAGGGTTTAGGGTTTAGGGTTTAGGGTGTAGGGTTTAGGGTTTGTTGCTGACGTTATCTGAGGGATCTAGGTTGGGATGTTGCCCCCGTATACTAACAGTCCTTCATAGGGAATATGGTACCCCCTATTATATTCCTATTAAAGGACTGCTAGTAAAAGGGTGAACATCCCAAGATCTAGGGGTCGCGTAAGGGGCTTATAGGGCTCGGAGCCTACCTGAACCCTTAGTATGAGATTTGTTTCTTTCTTGCATTTTAACTTTTCACGTACCTTGGGGGGGTCCAGGTAGAGCGTTCAGGATCATAAGCTGTATGGCGTTTAACAGGGATGAAGTGAAGCTTACAGATGTGGTGCGGCGAACGTGTCACCCTGTGAAAGTAGGGCCCTGTTTTGAAGTCCAGCTTTCTTCAAGTAAAGTTGTCCGAGCCTCGTGCTCCAACCCTAACCCTATGACACATGACTCTACACCCTCATGGGTGATCACCATCTGCAGTGGAAACCAATTAACCAATTACTGAGCCCCTTCCCCCAAGCCAGGAAGATCCTACCCCACGAGGCTGTAGAGTGAAACTACGGAGGGTTCAAGCCGCACACAACCCACGCCTGGCAACCACCAACTTCAACGCCATCACTACCATGCAACTCCCCGAAACCCAGCCACCACGCGGGTTTAGGGTCTAGGGTGGTTTGTAGGGTAGGGCTTAGGGTTTAGGGCAGCCTCCTAACTACAAAGAAATCACCTCTGGGGCTAGCACTGTCGCCCGACGTACTGGTCCAAGGAGGACTTGATGCCTCAGCCATCGAAAAGCGCATCCCAGCAAGAACTTGCAGGGTGCAGTGTCTACACTTACTGTGAGCAGGTAAATTGAATATAAGATAATTCAACGTAACTAGAGCACATAAAAAATATATATACAACTGTATGCATGTAAGTAGGTAGGTTGGGCAGGAAACCCTATGGATGTAGCAGTTTATGAGCCCTGCGCTGCGAAAGGATTTGAAGTTCACGACTTGTATGCTTAGGGTTTAGGGTTTAGGGTTTAGGGTTTAGGGTTTAGGGTTTAGGGTTTAGGGTTTAGGGTTCCAAGAGCTTCGAGCGCACGCTGCTGGAGTGAGAGTCGCAAGGCCCCAGGCACTCTGGCAGGCAAGTACGTAAAGGATTTCAAGATGCTTGCAGCGCAAGATCCCCTTCGAACCCTACACGAGGAGATAGGATTAGGGGGACCCTTGGGGATATAGACCCTCTGAAGAAGGTCCCTTTTTAAGAGATCCAGAAGATGGTTCCTTTTTAAGCGCCCCCCTTATCCTACCTAGGATACACATGGTGCACGACCAAGAGCCCGGCCCATAGGCATATTCATCAACCTCCACGACGTCAGGTCCATGTACCTGTGAGGGCTCCAGGAAATCGGAGCTGGAGGCAAACTATAGCCCAAAGGATCCATGTACCCATAGAGTATATACTAGGGCCCTAAAGCTACTATACAGGAACCCTTTCAGGCCCAAGTATATGCTATATAGGGTACATGGATCCTTTGGGTACCCTTCAAAGAGTTGCCGCGCGGTGGTGGACGATATCCTAGGCCGCTGGCTGTAAACCTCAACTTGGCTTCAACAGCCGGCTACACTCCATAGACCCTAAGTGGACCCTAAGCTCCATCTATGCCCCAAGCTGTGAATTAGTGTCCGTGTGATGAACCTATACTTTCAGGCAGAGAGGCCGGGGGCTACCTGGAACCCTAAACCCCAAACCTTAATTCAAAACTCTGGTGAGCCCAACCCTCAGAAAGTCTAGAAATGCTAGAAACCCCTAAGCCCTCAACCCTCAACCCTAAACACCCTAAACCCTATGCGGCTCGAACCACTAGAAACCCTAAACCCTAAACCCCAAACCCGAAACCCCAAAAACCCCATGGGCCGCACTTGCTCCACCAGGCCAGGGTGACGGTATCCGTGGTGTTGAAGACTGGGCAGCGGCAGAAAAAGGCAGGGTTTAGGGTGTAATTTAGGGTTAGGTGTTAGGTGTTAGGATTTAGGGTTTGGGGTTTGGGGTTTGGGGTTTGTGGTTTAAGGCTGGGGAGGGGATCTATTCCTAGGCCTTACATAGGTCCAAGAAAAGCCGGTAGTCAGCAGCATCAGCCTCCGGGCAGCAGGGATGGGGACGACAGCGAATCTGAGCACAAAACAAGCGACTAGTACACATGGGGGAAACACATTTTTCTCCACAGTTTTTTAGCTGCGTCCCCTGAGAGGTAGACTCCTACGCGTTTCGGAGTTTTTGGGACCTGCGAAGACTTAAAACTCTAATCTAACACTCTAAACCAGGCAGAGCTGTACCTCTGCCAGAGACTGCGTGGAAACGACTCCTAGATAGGACCCTAAACCCTAAACCCCAAACCCTACCTAAACACTAAACCCTAAACCCTCAACCAGGTTTGGTGGGACCTAATGAGTGTAACCCTCCGCTCCTTCAGTGCAGGGGGTGTTGCACTTCCCCAACCCCTGCAAGAAGCTCTGCTGCAAAGGTCGCCATGAATCTAGGGTTCTACCTTGGACCCTAAGGTTGTACCCTTGAATTTTGGGGACCCTTTTTATGGATCCCTAAGAAAATCTATATATATATATATGTATTATTATAAGGGCGACATTAGGAGTATATCTGCCGAGGCCTCAACAACCCCCCCCTGCCCTGCCCCTACCCCCCCCCCCCCCCTACCCCACCCCCTGCCCCCCCCCAACCCCCCCCTCCCCCCTCCCCTCCCCTTTTCCCCGCCCAAAGCCACCACAAAATAGCTCAACTTGGTGTGAGCACGGCCGGGGATTCATTGCACGAGCCGAAGAGTCTAAGCTTGAACCTAAACCCGAAACCTTAAACCTTAAACCTTAAGCCCGAAGCACTCAACCCTCAAACCTTCAACACGCCCCCCCCCTCCCCTACCCCCCCCTCCCCCTGCCCCCCTTCCCCTACCCCCCCATTCGTTCTTGAACCCTAAACCCAAAAAACCCTAAACCCCAAAGCGTGAACCTTGAGCCCTAAGCCCTCAATCCAAAACTAACCCTCAACCCTAAACCCCAAACCATAAACCATCAACCCGGAACCCTAAACCCTAAACGCAAAACCCAACCCTTATTGCTTGGGGTCCAGCGACTTGGGCGCTGCGGAATCACCATGCTCACGCGGGCGGAATCACCATGCTCGCGCGGATGCGCTGGGCCGGGCCGAGGCGGGTCGCGTAGCGTTAAAATTGAGGGGAATCTTTCGGGGTACAACCTTTAAAGTACGAGTCTTCATCCCTTGAATGAATCAGGGAAACACTTAAACCCTAAACCCAAAGGCTTTCGCAGTCTGCCATGGAAGAGTCCATGCGAGCGTTACCCACTGACATGACACAGCCAGACGCGATTTGCAGAGTATTCAGCTGCTAGATCGGGGTTTGGGGTTTGGGGTTTAGGGTTTAGGGTTTAGGGTTTAGGGTTTAGGGTTTAGGTTCTGGGTCTCCCTCTTCCACACCCTATCAGCGACAAGTGAGGCTCACTGCCGACAGGGTGCCGATGGCCTGCAGCAAGCCCAGGCTGCTGGCTTTAGGGTTTCCGGTTTCCTGGGGTTTGGGGGTTTAGGGGTTTAGGGGTTTAGGGGTTTAGGGGTTTCGGGTTTGGGGGCTAAGGTTTACAACTACGGGTTTAGCTAGGGTCTAGGGCCTAGGGCCTATAGGGCCAGGGAAAGCCTTGCTCCCTTGATTCCGAGCTGCCTGGTGCCGGCAATGAGTGCTAACTTACACTGCGCAGTCTTTATAGTTTTTCTAAGGGAGGGGGGGGGGTTCAAGGGGGGCACGTAACCAAGGTTCCCTCTTACTCTTCACTACTCCCTAAGGCTCCCACACTTAGGCTCCCACACTGGACATATCTAGCCTAGAAACAGTCAAACCCTAAAAAGCAAAAGCCCTCCGAAAACCCAAAGCCTCAAAACCCTAAAGACCCTAAACCCAAAAACAGTCAAAACCTAATCCTACCGCCCTCAAGCCTAAACAACCTTTAAAACCCTTCAATCCCACAAACCCTAACGCCTCAAAACCTAAACCCTAAGCCCAAAGCAGCCTGGCCTGCACACCCTAAACACCCTAACACACCCTAAACGCCACAAAAGCCCCTGCCTCTACCCCGAAGCTCTTTTGACTTACAGTGGTGAGTCTACTTAGCATCCCCTAGAAACCCGCTTTATATAATCCCCAAAACACCTTACTAACCCTAAACCCTAAACCCTAAACCCTAAACCCTAAACCCTAAACCCTAAACCCTAAACCCTAAACCCTAAACCAAGTCAGAAGGGCTACCAAGTATGGCCTTCTTCTCGGACGACGGCTTCGACTCAAAAGCGCTGAGCAGCGACGGCGGCTCCTTGCAAGGGTTTAGGGTTTAGGGTTTAGGGTTTAGGGTTTAGGGTTTAGGGCTTAGGGCTTAGGGGCTGAGGTTTGGGGCTTAGGGTTTTCTCCCGGGTGTAGGGTTTGGGTTTAAGGTTTGGGGTTTCATAAGGGCTTAGGCTTTACGGTTTAAGATTTGCGGTCAAGGGGTTTAGGATTTTAGGGTTTAGGGCTTGGGGTTTGAGGTTCATGGTGTTAGTAGGGCAAACAGGGTAAGGAGTAGAGATTTGGGTAGGGTTTAGGGTGTACTTTGAAGCCTGGGGGCTCTAAGGGTGCTTGTAAGCCTAACCCCCCGCCCCCCCCTAAACCCTCCAAACCCTAAACCCTCTAAACCCTCTAAACCCTCTAAACCCTCTAAACCCTCTAAACCCTCTAAACCCTCTAAACCCTCAAAACCCTCAAAACCCTCAAAACCCTCAAAACCCTCAAAACCCTCAAAACCCTCAAAACCCTCAAAAACCTCAAAACCCTCAAAACCCTCAAAACCCTTAACCCTCTAAACCCTCCAAACCCCAAACTTAAACCCAAAACCAAAAACCCTCCAACCCTCCAAGTTTACAAGCTGTTCGCTCTTCCTTTCAGGATGCTAGCCGAAGCTCCCTAGACCTCAAAAGCACAAGCACATCGCACCAAGCCTAAACCCTAAATCCTAAAGCCTACACCCTAAATCCTAAACCCTAAAACCCCTTTATTTCTGCCAAGCAAGAAGTGAGCTGTCTCAAGTTTCGGGTTCTTGGCTTAGTGGTCAGGAAATGTCATAGAACCACAGTCCAACTCCCCCCCCCCTCCCCCCTACAGTAAACTCCAGAAAGTTGGAACGGTTATTAAAGGATGATTAGAGCTGGGATTCCCCTTAGTATACCTTTGGGGGTCTGTGGATAAGGATTGTGCTATGAAAGACGTACGACCTGCAACTCGTGTGGAGGGCTTTGAGTTTCAACCGCTTTCGCAATCGGGGTGTCTTACCGTCATCCGGAACGCCATTCGGACAAATCTACAGGAAAGTCTACAGAAGAGAACGGGTGGGGGCTGATCAAGAAGACCCTAAACCCTAAACCCTAAAACCCTACACCCTAAAACCTAAACCCTAAACCCTAAACCCTGAACCCTAAGCCCTAAACCCTAAACCTACAGACACAACCCTCAACCACAGAGGAGGCGCTCCCGGGGCTCCTCTCCCGGAGGTGTCTGCACAAGGTAGTCCACATCTGCCAGAAAGGTAGGACTGGATCCTACACCCTAACTCTCATTCTAAGCTTAGGGTTTAGGGTGTAGGGTTTAGGGTTTAGGAAACCCTAAACCCAAATCCCTTGACCCTAAACCCTACACCCTAACCAAAAGGCTCCAAGGACTCTTATTCTAAGTGTTGTGTGGTCAAAAAGTCTTATTTAAAGAAGGTGTGTTGGGCCATGTTGACTTTCTACTCTAGAGGTAGCTGGCGTACTTACTATCGCTACCCAGCCTGGGTCGGCCAGGAAGCTTCGCCGTCAGAATCAGGGCTCCAGTTGGCTGCGCTATGTGGTTTAGGGTTTCGGGTTTTAGGGTCTAGGGTTTAGGGTTTAGGGTTGTACACTTGGTTTCCTATAAATGGGGTAATACTCTTGTGGGGGACATAAACCTAAGGCTCCAAAATAGCCCAAAGTAGGCATCATTTAGAGACCCCAATGTAGGTACTACTTGTGTACTTGGAGCCCTAGGGTAAGAGGCACACCAATTATGACCTATTCAGGGGTGGTTTGGGTCAAGCCAGGATTTCCTCCCCAAGATCGGATCTCAGGTGCTATTAAGACTGTTAACGAAAAGATGGTTTAGGGTTTAGGGCCTAGGGTGTTGGGCTTTGGGCTTTGGGCTTAGGGCGTTTTTGAGGGAACTCCCCCCCCTCCCCCCACCCAAGGAATCTAGGTGCCGCAGAAAACCCTTTTAAGGACCCAATATTCCAAACTCCAAAACCCCCTAAAACCTTGAAGCAAGCCAGTGAGCCGAAAATTTCAAACTCGGACCCAGGGGAATGTCCGCCCATGGGCGCAGGAGTGGATGCTCCGTGATGCTCTGAAGAGTGGACGCCGTGGGGAATGAACGTTGCCAGGTGCAAACATTCAGGCTTTTTAAGCGCCCACGCTGATGAACGGATGTTGACAGGTGCAGACGTGAATGCTTCCAGCAACGTGAGGAATGATGAGACTTGACATAGCCACTTACAAACATGGACGCTTTAAAGGAAGCGCTGGTGTGGACATTGACATTGCCAGGTGCACAACTAACCCTAAACCTGAACCCTAACCCCTAAACCCTACACCCTGATACATGTATGCTGCAGACAGGAGAAAGACGACAATTAACACCGAAGAAGTCGAAACTCGTGGTTGCACGAGTCTTTCGAGAGGGCAAAGAACGTTTGCTCCAGGCGCAACTCCAGACCGCCCCAAGCGCATCAACACTAAACTACTAATTTGCTTAAGAACACCAACAATATAAAAAACAAAAAAACACAAAACAAATAAATAAAAAGATAACTTCTTACCCCTGTATATATGGAGAAGAAAGTTTCTTATTCTTCGGGGTTCTTTCGCAAACAGTAGTAAACCCTTGCAAGAGGCAGGCGCCTCGAACAGGAATCGTGCAATGCGGGCGCAGCACGTCGCTGTCGGCGAACCTCTTAAAGCAAGGCTTGCACGGACAGTGCTCTAAACTCTGGTCCCCTTTTCGGGTGCCCTACATAAGTAGTAGGCGCCGCCTTCTCATAAGGACCCCGAAAAGGGACCAGATTCTACGGAAGTGACCAAATGGACCTTGGGGTAGAGGCCCTGGAGCTTAGGGTTTCAATTTGGGCTTAGGGTACGTGGGGCCCTGATTTAAACCATTCCCCCGAATATTAACACACCCCTAATACCAAAAAAAAAACTGACCCCAAAACCCGATCCCGTAACCTGCCCCTATCAAAACCTCTACCGAACAAAGGGCGGGGGGGAGTGGGGTTAGGGGAGGTCGGAAGCCTCAAGCAGGAACCTGAACCATCAAGATTCAAGTACCTCTCAGTGCCTGGGCTCAGGGGCTCCCAGCTACCTACAATAAGGACGGGCTGTTCCCTACAATTGAAAACCTTTGGGGGTTGCGGCATTGGGGGACTTCCTTGAAAGGACTCCGGGCCATGGATCTTCAACTCGTATGTCAGGCTTGCTTGGCGGTTCAGGGTACTTATAACCCAACTATGAGTGTAGTTATTACCCACCAAGAAGCCGCTCAAGTACCCGAACAGGGTTTAAAATTGGGTTATACAGTTATAATTGGATTTCTGAGTACCACGAATCTCCAAGCAGGAGGGCTTAAGATAGAAAGCCTCGGAGCGCTTAGAAGTAAGGTTTCTACATATTGATATCCTGATCATGAAGCCCTCAATGCAAAGACCGCGGCTTCTGCCATTCGAGATTGTGATGAACTGCGCCTCCTGCAGGGAGTTCAGGCGGTAGGGGGTTTAGGGTTTAGGGTTTTTTAGGGGTTAGGGGCTAGGGGGGCCGGCTTCAAGCAGTGAACAACTCGGGGCGAGCGCTGCGTCCAGAGGGCCGAACAATTTGCGGGGAGCGCTGGGTCCAAAGGGTGAAGACCCATACGACCAAGAAACCCCACTAAACCCCAAACATCCCGAAACTCGAAGAGCATGAGGGCTTACGACCTTCAATCCTCAACCACAACCCTCAACCCCAAAAGCCTCAACCCCAAACCCCAAAACCCAAACCCCAAACCCTAAACCCGAAACCCCAAACCCTGTGGGTTCGGCACCGGACTTCTTTTCACAGCAATGCGTGGGAGTACTCCCCGGTGCGGACTTTGTATCGCGCTACCAGGTCGAAGATCCCAGAGGCAGATAAGCCTTGGCTTGCAGGGTTTAGGGTTTAGGGTTTAATTAGGGTGTAGGGTTTCGGGCTTAGGGTTTAGGGTTTAGGGTTTAGGGTTTAGGGCTTCGGGTTCAGGGGTTAGTACATTCAGGGACAGGGCGGTTGGGCGTACTGGGTATTGGGATGTTCATCCTTACACTAACATTCTATAATGGGGATTATAATTGGGGGTACTGCAATCCCTATTAAGAACCGTTAGTATAACGGGGAACATCCCAACTAGGTTACCTGAAGAACCCCAAAACTGACTTTATTGTAGGCTACTACTCCAGTCCTGGGTCTCTGTTGAATGGCAGACAGCACTACCCAAGATATCAGCTATCCTGAGTAAAAGGTAAGTGCCAAGAAGCCGCACCAGCTGAAAGGATATCTCCAAAGTGGGATAAAGTAAGGGAAGGTCAATTACATCCATGTCTGTTGTCAAGCATATGTCAGAGGACATGTTTTCCGTTCACCTCAGCAAGCTACGCGGTGCACCTTGAGCCACCACAGGTGGCATAGCGAGTTCACTGCTCTGTGCTCCCATCTCCTAAGAGATCAGGAGCCTAAGCTCTTCAACACCCCCGCGATGGGCGCACACGGCAGTTACTCGGAAATACTGAGCCCAAAATGCGGTTGCATACTCCTATCATAACCTTCAACCGCAGATCACCAGAGAAAGGGTGCTTCGCACGTCCGGCCACTGTACATAAGATTGGGCATCGTAACAAAACAAACACCACGAACCATCAATCCCTGAAACCCTTAAACATCTATCGATGACTCCAAGTTCCTGGACTCAGGTTCGTTAGGGTGCAACTGTTGCGTAGCTTGCTTTTCCTTTCTACCTGATTTGGTGCAATACGTGATGCGGATATGGCATGTGTCCATGACCTCTCGCACAAGGTCCACGCGGCCTCCGGAACTACTTAGCTTGGTTAGTCCGTCCGCGATCATATGTTCAGCATTTACCCAGTACGTTGAGAAACCATGGTCTACAACCAAGTCATACAGTATCTGATACACCAAGCTTTGCATCTTCTGCCCCTGTCTGGTTGAAGGTTTCTCTGTCCTAATGCTGTCATATAATCCCTTGTTATCCGTCACGATTATACGATGTTGCCCCTTTTGAAGTAGTTTCTGTTTTACCTCACGGGCTCTCAGGCCATACATGACTTGCTCGTACAATAGTAGCAAGGATACGGATGAGTCCGCAGCTATCGTGGCACCCTGGAGTTCGCTAGCGTACGAGGACCAAACTGCACGATCTATCTTAGAGCTGGTGAAATCGGCCAACACAGACTTTACCATGTCACCCTTCAGAACCGACTTAGGCGCCCAAAACATCAGAGCCCCCGCTTGACTATGACCCGACGGCCTACTCGTATGACCCGCATCCGTGAACACGACCAATGCTAAATCAGTCCAATTCTGCGCTACTTTCTGGAAGGTCAAAGAGTAGGGTTGTGCCTTGAGGGTGCGGACAATCTTATTCAGAGCTACGATGTGTTGCTTTTCAGGACGTGTACCGTATGAGGCATAGTGACTGACGTCATAGGCTACATCCGGTCTGGTGTTAACGGCAACCCACAGCAAAGCGCCTAGTTGTGACCAGAACTGGGTTTGACCTGCCTTATCTAGAAGGCCATCCTTCAGGGGCTTCACCGGCGTTTCACGCAACTTCTCTACGTAGTGCGCCTGGTCTACAGTAATGGTCCGACTTAGGGGGTGCTGGCGTAGATTTAGCCCAGTGTAAAGAACAGGAGCGACATCTGCATACTTGCGCTCACCGAAAGGGAGTCTAGCAACTAGCTTCTGCAGCGCTGCTTCAAACTGTGGATCTACACTGGCAGAACAACCAGCAATTAACAGATCATCTACGTGAGCCCCAACTAGGCCCAAAACTCTACTTCGATCTTTCTTATCTCTAAGGACATAAACACATCTATCAGCTGGAACCTGCTCGAACCCACACGTTTCTAGTTCAGCGGTAAGACGACGATACCACGCCAGCGGTGCTTCACTTAATCCATAAGGTACTTTCTTTATTCTGGCGATAGTATCCTCGTCGTACCCCTGATCTGAAACCAAGTCTCGTGGCAGCTCAGCATAGATTGGCTTAACCCTTGAAGACCTGTCCCCTGCCAAGAAAGCTGTCTTAGCATCCAAAGTAAACAGTCGATACTGATGATGAGCGGCCAGAGTGAGAATCGCATGCCGACCCTGCCTGGATAATGTAGGTGAAGCTGTAGAGTACTGACCCAAATCTGGATCCTTAAAACCCCTAATTACTAACCTAGCTTTCGGACGCTTCTCACCATTCGGTTGATCCCCTACATTCTTCCAGGTCAGGATCCAGCGACTGCTTATGACGCGCTTCGGGTCAATCCCTCGCCTGCTCAAAAGTTCAACGACGTCATTGGAAATCCACTGTGACCACTCGGCCCGCTTAGCTTGCCTAAACATCTCTTTTTCAGTGGACGTCAAATGACGCTCGCTGACCTCAGCCTTGCGTTTCTGAGCTGCTGCCGCATTGAAACACATCTCCCTCACTATGTGTACGATTGACTCATCACTCTCCAGTTCGCTAAGCTCAACGTCAAATTCCAAGCCTACCGACATTCCAACATAATCATGCTCACAAGACTCATTATACCACGCGTCAGCAACATGATCCGCCGCGCCCCCTTCAAAGTCTGCGAATGCCCAGAGACTTGTTTCCCGCGGTGGAGGATTTCGAATTGGAGTGCGGCTACGGTGTCTTACCTCCGAGCTGCTCGCCTCGGTACTCCGAAGAACAGCAGGAGACACTGCCGCAGGCGGCGGCGCCTCCATCAGAGGACGAGCGCCAGGGCCCAGCTCTGCGCGGTGCTGGTCTTCCAGCTCCAAATCGGAGTGCTCCCCATGAGGGCGTTTATCCCCCCGCTTGAGAGGGCCGGAGGAAAGTTCATCGCCGCCAGCTGGTGTTGGCAACTGCAGCGGTGGAACTAGCGGCGCGGACGGTGCGAGCGGCGGGCGCGCAGGTGTACCGGGGGTGGGTGTCGGCGGGCCAGGAGTGCCAGGGGCCGGCGTGGGAGGCGCCTGGGGCACCGGCTCATACTCAGCTTCTTCCTTCAGCTCCTCAACCTGCACTGGTGCGACCGGTTCA